CTCTTTGCTTTTAAATTTGTGTATAGGCCATTCTTACGTTCCTGAGGCACTCATGAGGACAATTGTTGTGTCAGTGGTCAAGAACAAGATAGGATCAAGATAGGTCAATCTAATAAGACAAATTATCGCCCTATGTCGCTTGCCACTACCACTGCCAAGGTAATTGATCGTATGCTGGACACGATACTGAAAACATACATAAAGATTCACGACGCCTAAGTTGGTTTCAGAGAAGGATTGTCCACGGATGGTGCAATACTATGTCTAAAGCATACGATCAAGTATTACACAGATAAGAAAACCCCCGTGTATGACTGTTTTCTCGACTTGTCGAAAGCTTTTGATCGAGTCAACTATGATCTGCTCTGGCAAAAACTTAGTGAGACGGGCATGCCGGAAGAATGTGTGGCTGTTCTTGAGCACTGGTACAGTAATCAGAAAAATCAAGTTAGATGGGCAAATGAATTCTCTAGCGAATACAAGCTTGAATGTATGGTGTGACAGAGACAGGGGGGATTACATCACCGAAGCTATTTAACTTGGACGTCAACGAGTTGATAGTCGAGCTCAGCAGCATGTATGCGGGATGTTATGTGGGAAGCACTAGTATTAATAACTTAAGTTATGGCGATGACATGGTGCAGCTAAGCCCGTCGGTCGGCACGTTGACACAGTTGTTTGCGACTTGTGAGGCGTATGCTGTCGCCCATGGTCTAGAGTATAACCCGAAGTAAAGCGAGGTTATGGTATTCAAGGCGGGCAAAATAAAGCCATGCTATATTCTTCCTATTGTGTTGAATAACACTCCGTTAAAGGTCATAGACAGGGTCAAATATCTTGGTCATATTCTCACGAGTGATCTGAACGATGATCAGGGTATCGAAAGGGAGCGCAGGGCGTTTGCGGTTCGGAGTAATATGCTTGTCCACAGCCAATCTTTCTACTATAGTAGCCTGTGGGTGAGGTATACGAAACGTGCCTATAGCGCCCTGGGCGTTCAATATAACAACACATTTAGAGTGCTGATGGGCTTTCCAAAATGGTGCAGTGCCTCGTCCAGGTTTGCGGAAGCTCACACCGACAGCTTCCAGGCCGTAATACGGAAAAAAATTGTTTCGCTGTTGAGTCGCGTGAGGCAAAGTCCCAACAGCATTCTAAGTGCAATATCGGGAAGTTTTGACTGTCCAATTGTAAAATTCTGGATAGAGCAAACTAAGGGCGTAGCCCAATTTATAGTGTAGTTATAAATTAAGTCTGAAGAAGTATTATTATTATTGTTATTCTTTATTCGCTAATTTCATTTGATACCGAGAGTCACGTCCAGTAAAGTTTGATTCCACAATAGGTTGCAGGAAAAGCATCATGCGCTCGGATAAACAGCCAATTCCATTATGAGAATAGCCGGCGCTGGCACAGATGTGGTGTTGTAACACGGCCTTTACTTGGCTATATTAATCTTATTATTTTGTCGGATTAAAAGTCATCCGTCAAAATAAATGTCCAATTTTGATTAACACAATTTTGCTGCGTTCGTTGCTGTTTTAATTAATATACTTTACTAGTTAGTGACTTAATGTACTTTCTAAGAATAGTAGGTACCCAATAAAATGGCAATCTGAAACATGAAATGACCTTCACTTGTGTCTCAATCCTCATCGACATCTAAATCAAAATATTAACAATGGCTGACCCACCGAAATGGAGGTTTCTTATTATGTGTACCTTATCAGCTGTTCGAGGATGATTTTCGAATTTTAATTGTTGTTTTCAATCCCCAATGCAAAATAAGAGAAGTTAGAAGTTGAAGCCTTTGACTGTGTATCTGTTATTGACATCATAGCCCCAAACGGATGGACTGATATCAAAGCGGTTTTTTCGTTTGAAAGCTAATTTGATGAAGATGATCTGCTAAGCTGTTTAAAGATCATCAGCTCTTTTTCTTGTTAGTGTAGGGCCAGTCATAAAATAATTGTTTCTTTTACATCCACTTAGCCGATTAACTCGAAATTTGGTATATTACTTTGACACTACAATAATATGGTGGCCTCGATCTGATGCTGCAACCTTGATAGTTTGCAGATTACCCAACTCCTCAACTACTTACAGTAGAACTATCGTGTTTGAGCTCATTAAATTGGTGACGACGAGTAGTTGGTTTACAGATGATGTCTAGGGTCTAACGATGAAGCAGGAAGATAGACACAGGAAGTACGCTTTATTAAAAATGGACCCACCGAGTTTGCACTCGTTGGATCGGTCTTGACGAGTATTAGGTAGATAGATTCTGAATTTGTGGATTTTTCAGTGTTGCCCGTTGTTAATCGAATGTTTTTGATTTTCAATTTATTTACGTTTATAATTATAAATAAATGTTACACAACATCACCCACGTTGCTCTGATCTCAAAATAAATAAGTAAAGAGTTTGTGTTATGGAAATCGGAAACAACGACGGTACCACAAACACCCAGGCCCGAGATAATAATAGAAAAGTTAATTTTTACATTAACCCGGCCGGGGATCGAAACCAGGACATCAGAGATGGCAACATTATGAAAACCGGTGTGCAAGCCACAGAGGTCATGAAATTGAGTGTTATTATTCAGTTATAAATCTGCGTTTGATAATTTACGTTAAATTACGGACTATGACAAAATATGGATGACATGCCTTGCAGTCCTATGTAAATAAGTCATAGATCCATTTGACATGTTTCATATTATATTATTTATTTTCTTCTTCCATTGTACAGCACGTTAAATAAAGTAATCTTGATTTTGATGTTGTAACAATTTTTGAGTCGAGTGAAAATCAGATTTCTATTAACGATACGCGAAAATGGTCACCTAAATTTAATTCGTTCTCGTATCTTCGAAAATTAGAAGATACGAGTTATGTATATTTAATATATATTTAATATATTTATGTGTATTGGTACATATATCTATAGGCACATAGACTATCTGATAAATCCAAGATATGTGCAGATTTGTCCTGTATAATAAACATCTGTATGTTCTCATTTGGACGCGCGCGTTTCTTAGGTAATTATTTTTGAATTAGATCATCTTATAAAGATTTTTACATTAAGTTTATGCAGCATAAAAAAGAGCAGGTGGCTTTAAATTGAGTTAGAATGGATCCACGTTAGTGCGCCTCGGGCGTAGCGAAACGTTCTACTATAAAGCTGTACACAAAGCAGAAGCCAGGAGATTAAATTGGATAGGTGCAATAAATACGTCACCAATTTCTTGTACTTTAAGAGGTCTTGGCGACTCAATCAATGATTGGATTAGCTGTTTTGCATTATCCGAAAAGAACTTTACTTAAATGATGAAATTCCGAAAATTTATTTCTTAGCTCAATTATCAATTTAAAGTGTTGGGATCGGCCACTCCGAGGCAAGGGCTGCGATCAAAGTTCTGGGTCGTGATTGATTCAGCAGGTGGCCATTTCCAGCTGGTTAATGCTGCCTGTGTAATGGGAACTTTTTGAACCAGACACAATACAGGTCGGGATTTTTTTTACGTAGGTAAGGTATTTTTGACACGATCTTGTAACCCCAGTTTTTTTGGGTTATGGTACCTACCGACTCACGTAGCCAAGTGCTGATCTTTACATTGTAAATTTATGATCTTCTTTTTATTTCAAATTTACCATTGCTATTTTGATAACTTCGTTAATTTCTTTTTATGGCATAATAAGAGAAGTATCATTGGCATGCTTTTTTGTGATAAGCAAGTAGAATGTTAACTTATCCTTATAACCACATGTACCTTTCCTTAGTTAATTATGTGCTGCAGAATTTCACTCGCTAATAAGTCTTCGCCGGTTCAAGGCGTGGTAAATTTGCGTTAAATTATAAAGCTTATTAAGCATTGTTCCCCTGTGCCTCGTAACCTGCCGTACAGAAATATACCACATTCAAGTTTTGTCCCGGCTTTACTGGAATTATTTCCTTCTTGTAGATACTTAAATGCCCCGACAGTATTTCTTAACTTCAACAGAGATTTAACAGATTCAGAAGTTTATTGTATTAAAAAAGCCGCATAAGGTTCTTCAACACCAACGACATTTCTGTGTAACGGCGAACATTCGTTTGTTCTCTACTGGGAAGTTACGTATATAGTTACCTACGTATACGAGCATATAAGTTGTAGGGATGTGGTGCTGGAGAGAAATGAAGGGAATGAGTTGGACAGAAACAATCTCAGTACAGAGTACTAAAAAAACCGACTTCAAAAGTACGTCGAATTACGTCTATTTGCTAAGTTTTATTGAAATATCCCCTAGTTCGCCACTATACAGGACTTGACGCTGGAGATAATAAAAATAGGTTCTCACTACGACACTACTCAAAGTATACTGAGAGAAAAACGCCTTGAATGGAAGAAATAGCAAAATCAACCATTAAAGTAGTTGCTCCTAAATTAAAGTTAGGCGCTATTTATAAAAGTGAATCTTCATGCGTGAACAGCCCCCTTCGTGGTGGATGATTTTCTTCAAAATGAAATGGGACCACTATAGAAGTACCCCCTTTCCAACAAAAAAAGAATCATGAAAATCGGTTCACAAATACCGGAGTTATCGCGTAACATACAAACAAAAAAAAAAAACAGTCGAATTGAGAACCACCTCCTTTTTTGAAATCGGTTAACAAAAACCAATAAATGGGTGTTAAAAATAGTGCATGAAAAGAGATGCTTGTTAGTGACAATAGACAACCGCAGGGGAAAAATTTTTCGAGATCCGATACAACACGATCGTTTTCTTCGAAGCATTATAGAAGACAAGATCGAAAGAAAGAGGCAGAAGACCTAGATAAAGTTATTTATATCATGCAAGGGAAAAACTATCGTATCTGGAACTCAAGGCTGAACAGACATAGTTGGTGATTACTCCACCGATAACAGCTATAACAAGAAGTGTTACAACGTTTTGCTTTTAATAAAACTTTCACGAGTACTCTTTCAAACATGTCAGATGACACTTGTCATGCCTGTCAAATCTGTCATAGAAAAATGCAAAATTAATTCAGTAAAATTTCCGCAAATAAGGAAATTATAGTAAAATTTCCCAATTTAAATATTTATATTTCGTGTGATGTCCAAACTTTATTTCCATCTTGGTTGCATAACATCATATCTCAAAATGCAGACGGAAGTGATAAACAGCAATATTGAAATTTATCAAGCCACTGACGACGCAACGACTTCTCGAAAATTAGACGTGAATCCTATGTATTCCTCGCACAATATGAACGATTTAGATACACTTAATTACCAATCTGCTGACGACATCAGGTAAATCAGTCAATACTTTCATCGATGTCTAATTCTTTGATATGTTGTCGTAACAAGATACCTATAGCTGAAAACTAAGGCCAGCCATAGATAACTAGGATTATTTCTCCTATCATATATCCTTCGCTACTTGTTTGTTACAGAGCAAGAGCTCAAATCTACTGGGCGTATGAAAGTCTGATTCGATTTTAGTCCTCGTTAGAGCGATGCCACACGGGCGTCCTCTCCTCTAAGTTTCCTGGCCTCTTGTCAGAGTCAGTGTGGCATTGCTCTTATGCAAATTGACGATATAATTTGTCATAAAAAAACGTGATGATTGCAGGCAAACTATGAAAGCGGTGCTATCTGGGAAACAACGAAATGTCTACGACGGAATCGAGGATGCTAGCTCTACTCCAACAACACATAATAAATTTTCTCATAATTCAGGAAGTCAAAAACTTAAAAAAGAGGACTGTGGTTTAAGGTTGCACGTTGTCGATTCAAATACAAATTGTAAGTCGACGGCTGCCTTGAGGAAGCGAGGCAGGCCACCCAAGGCTGGTCCCTCGAAGAAGTTTAAGCAGATAAAAAATGTAGCTGAGTTGTATAAAGGGAAGCTGTCGAACGTGGTGCAAAGTCCAGGCATTGGTTGTTCGAATAACTCTTTTTCGGACACTGACTGGTTTTATTGGCACTGTAAGTACTGTAACACGTTCAATTTGAACTGAACGTCTTACAGCACTTACAGTGAACAGAAGGAAATAAAAAACATGTTAGCTTTTGTAATATCGGCGTGTAAATGAAGAGTACGTAATTTTCAAAGTCTGGTATTGTCTGTGTCGTTCCTCTAAATGTATAATATTAATTTGAAAATATGTTTTATTCAATGTATGTTGTCCACATCTGTATTGTCTGTGTGTGTAATATACTTATTATCAGGTTGTGACGGAATGGAAAGTCTATAGAGTATTTCAGCAATCTCTAGCGGATCGTATCATATAGGAAATTGAATTTCTGATTGGGCTGCGAGTGCAAGGCGGCTGTAATGGATGGTCCCGCAGCCCCTGTTTCGCGCAATCCATGGAAATGATAGATAGAAATACGGGGCAGTAGAGGTGTGCAATTGCGTATTATTTACAAAGTTACTGGTACGTAGGAAGATAATAGGCAGGGACTGAAAGGAAAAAATAACCATACTAAACACGTTAATGTAAACATAGCAGGTAATCGTAAACATAACCTGAGGTGGGTATAAATATAAACATAAATACGTGACTTTAAAATTACATAAAATCTTTTTGGAAATGATTTTTGTTTCTAAATTAAACTCCTTACTAATGCCGAGTTCACGAGTCTTTCTCGTATACGCAAGGATCTGTCGCGAACGCGCAGGTAGGACTGTTCACGAGTCGCTTGCGCCGGCCGCTTGCTTTGCGTTGGATTCTTTGCGTTGCGTGAGTTTGATATCTAGCAAGCTTGATATTTTCACGCAAGCAACAGGGAACGTTTGCGGAGGACAGCACCACTGGCCAATCACAGAGCAGCAGCGTCCACGCGTCCAATAAAACCAAAACAAAACAAGGCGCCAAGCATGCGCGCAAGTCTCTCGGCAACGCAACGCGGAAAACTCGCGAACGCCTTTAGGCAGATTTCTACGCCGTATACGCTGGGTACACCAGCCAACGCAAGCAAGCGAAAAACACAAGTGAAAGAACGTTACTTTTTTCAAATTAGCGCGAAACAAAAATAAAAAGTTAGGTGAGGCGGACATATTTATTGAAGATGGAGAAAACGGAATTTCGAGTAATCAGAACATTAAAACTTATCGAATTAATTGCCGCACTCTCTGTATTCACCAGATTTGCCTTCATTAGAATTTTTCATCTGATTTGGAAGGAAGTGATAGCTGAAACAAAAGCTTATTTTTCAGTTTGACAAAAAATATTTTTTTGATGCGTCGAAGAAGTTGGAACATCGCTAGTCCAGGTGTATAGAGTTGAACAGAACCGTCCTCGTATATAAGTCAAGTGTTAACTGGAACATCTGATAAGATATTTGAATTGTTCATTATTTTATTTTGAGAATATTTAAGAATACTTGCTGTGTTACTTTTTACAAGGCAAATCATAACTATAGTTCAAGAGACTAGTAAACAAATGTACACAAAGATAAAGGCTTCAAACAGTTCGCCTCCTTTTACGACGGGAGCAAAAAAAAAAATCTTACTGTAACCTAAGCATACTAGTTATTATTGAGTCTACCTCTACACAGAGTTCATGAGAATGATACAGAACACTTGAAAGTTGTTTCTGAAAATTGAATAATGTTCCTCTTTCATTCAGACTGTTTCGCCTTTCAGAACAAATACGAGATATTTAGAATATCGTACGCTTTTAGGAACAGGAGACTTTCGACCTTGTTGTTCTCCGTTACGATGTCCTTAAATTGAATTGGCACTTCTACAGTACGTAGCGATAAGTGTTGTTTAAGGATGATGGAAGAAGACGGTATTCGAGACGTGTTTTAAGTTTAAAAGCTATCGAATAATGTACGTGTACCTTTTTTTAAATGGGGGGAAATGCATACCCTCGAGTCTGGGGATGCTCAAGGGTTATGTGGGACTAACCCTCTACGTGGAGGGCATATCCTCTAAACTCCTCGACTTGCCCTCTTGGCCAGGTGTTGTGGTTTCCACCAGGAGTCGACTCGCTTGACCCATCCCCCAGACTGGTGAGACCGTACAATGCGGGCAGGGGATCCCCGTCCCCGGTCCGTTGGCCTCACTAGGGAATCAGGCGAGCATCGAACCGCATTCGCCTTCTTCCTCGTCGCCTGCGCCTGAGCGGGTTCGCATCGACTGTGTCTTCGCGCATCCGCTCGGCGGCCTCCTTTTGCGAGATGACCTCCTCGCAGAATGTACATGTACCTACTGTATTTGTTGTCAGAAGACTTATCTCCATTATATGAATATACAACATACCTATCTCTGCTAAGGGTGCTAGTGAAACTGTTCAGCACAAATTCCCTTTCACATGGCGCCGCGGCGGCCACGTTTTTTTGCCGCCGCAGAAGAGGAAGAGTTTCATAATGCAGCACCAGGCGCAGCTGCAGCCAATGTGGCGTGATCAACTGAAATCGTACATTAGTAGACAAATGCGGTTGCGCTCGCCGCCGCCGCCTCGGTGCGTGTATAAAAGTGTGTAAACAAATGCAAGGGCAACTACAATTGCGGCGCCCCGTAGCAGCGGCGGTCACTGACATGCATGAATTTTTGTCCCCCAGTTTTTGTTTCATAATGTTGATGATGATTAACTAATTAAGTAATACATAAACTTCTTTCTTTCTTACTTTCCTACAAAATGCATGTACAACCTCAGAGTTACTACCGTACAAACTTCACCCATTAACACGAATGTGTTGTTTATTTTATTCTTCATTGTGTAGTGCTAATTTTATGCCTCTTGAATATTCACTTCCCAAGAGATCATTAAGGTAAATTATGCTACATTATGAGGTACAAAGGTTGCGTTAGTTAGTTAGTTACGAGAAGAACATATCATGCGCCTGGTGGTTAGCGACACGCCTATCCGTAGCCCGTCACCCTGAGACATGTGTCGACAATTCTCATGTCTGTAATCTCACCAGCATCTGTGGTGGCAGAAATAGGCCCACGTTACCCATCGTACCACTGAGCGAACCACTGGTGCGGTGGATATTACCCTACCGTACTACCACAGAGATGCCTTGTTTAATAATGAGCGATAAACTGTAAACTATGTCTCATTAAAGGATGTTTTTACCACTGGACCAAAAACATGTGAAAGAAAGCCAAATCTTTGGAACACACCGACCGCACTATCTCAAGCAACAGACCTGATATAACATTAACAGTAAAATCTACAAAGACCACCTCATAGATATTGCCGTTCCCAATACAAACAACCTAAAACAGAAACACTAAAAAAATACAAAAATACATACCTTTAGCAGACGAAATCAAACAGATGTGGAACCAAGAAACCATTAAGATTAAGTTGACGAAATTATAATGGGGACTTATAATTTCGTCAACTGGTATCATACCGAAAACCCTTCATACCGCCTTAAAAATTATAGGTCTGCACCTTAAAACCTACATACCTCTACAAAGTCAATTGTACTATGATTTTACTAGACACATCACTTTCTCGCACTATTACGTTATGTGGTCAGAGCGGCAATATAGCGAAAATTCTGGCGCGAAACTGTTATCTATGTCTGTTAATAGAATCCTAATAATTGTACATGTCTATTAGGTATTTACATCGATATATTATATTTTTCATTAATTCACTAACTAGAGTAATATTGAAGATTTATTTCAAAAGCACTTAAAATGTTATATTTCGGACATGTTCTTTTAAGTAAGGTAACCAAGGTATTTGAAATTGCTTGTCCAAGTTTAGTTAATTATTAGATATATTCACTACCTACGTAATATTTATCGGCAATACGAATAGAAAATTCGCGAAGTCATGGCGTCTCATTATATTGATATAATAAATCTGTATTTTTTAGCCGTGGGGCGACGGCTTAAGAATACATTGTCGCCTCCCCATACATGCCCGCGGGGGTCGTAAGAGGCGACCGAGGGCGTCACAAGTGTCCATCTGCTTAGCGTTGTGGTAGGCTTTGTGCCGACTGGATAGCGACCACAGTACACACGGCGGAAAACCCTCCACAGTGAAACGCTTTTGCGAATCGCGTTCAAGGATCAGTTGGTGTACATCCAGTGCACGTGGAGTTTTCGGCGCGGTATCTGGGAGGACTGAGGCGGATATTCGCCATGTCACTTGTTGAGGGATATCTAGTTGACCTGCCGGCCAGGGAGACCCGTAGAAACGGTTGTCCGCTGGCCGCCCGCGATACAGTACAGGGGCCCAATAGGGACTAACTACCCCTAGAGGCTGCCCCACCATGCCGCGCATAATCTTGGGGTAGGTCGTCGTGCCGGTTAGTGACCGGAATTTGGGGTCCCGGCGGCATATCCCGGGGGGGGTACGGGGGCCCTTCCGTTCGGCGGGTCAGCCGGCTATCCTTCAAAAGATCAACGGCATGTATTGCAGTTCCCCTCGTTTTTCTTCTTCGGTGCAGTGCCGAAGGCTTCATCTCTTCACACTACCGTCCTTCTTACCCACCATGACAGCGCAACATAAGAATGCAGATCGTTCAGCGGTGCCTAATCCCCCCACCGCGTTTATTATTGAGTTCGCTAACATCCGCGGACTCCACTCCAACCTCAAAGCTGTCCACCATCACCTCGAGACAGCCCGGCCTGCCCTGCTTTTCCTGACGGAGACGCAGATTCGCCGTCCGAATGATATGAGCTACTTGAACTACCCCGGCTACTCGCTTGAGGAAAACTTTCAGGCCAAAGCCGGGGTATGTGTATATATTCGTTCGGATGTGTGCTGTCGCCGTCTGCGCTGCCTGGAGGACCCCTCCTTTTCCACTATGTGGGTGCTCGTAGAATCTAGTTATTCAGCTAGAGTCTTCGCGTGCTTATATAGATCCCACAGCGGGGATGCGGAGACAACTAGGCTCTTTGACCAACTGAGCCAGGCGACTCTTGACGCGCAGGCGCAGTTCCCATCTGCGGAGATGGTCGTGTTGGGGGACTTTAATGCTCACCATGAATCATGGTTAAGTTCCCTCAAGACTGACCATGCAGGAAGAACTGCCCACGCTTTCGCTCTCACGCATGACTTGACCCAACTGGTAACCCAGCCCACCCGGGTTCCAGACATATCGGATCATGCACCCTCTTTGCTTGACCTTCTGCTCGCGAGTCACCCTACC